AATAGCGGGTTGTGTTTTTATTTGGTTAGTGGGAAACTAAATCCAGGTCAGTGGGATTAAAGTTGTTTAAATGCTGACTTCTGGAAAGAGAGCAGAAGAAAAACAACCATCTGGAGCAGACCTGTAGTCTGAATCCAGAGGTAGGAGGACAGAAATTCTTCAAGCTGACAGCTTGACAGCTGTCCTCTGTACAACCTTGTTCCAGCATAGTGTTTATATGTTAATGTGCCTTTAATAAATGAATGAAAGATCTACTGGGCTTCCTGCAAATAACTGTGTCTTTGAACAAATTTAACTGCATGCAAAAGTGACCTTGAAAATCATTATAATTACACTGAAGGGTTTCTAGCAACAGCTGCTTGTTGGTGTTAGGAGAATTTCCAAGTATTTTGTTTCATGCTTTCTGAAATAGGATGCAGCTTTATTCAGTAATGTGGCCAGATAAACTCTGTGAGTTCTGTACTGTTGAATGGAGCTGAGTGCAGCTAAATGTCCCCTATAAAATCCCTTCAATAAAATTCTGTTTTCTGTCCTGAGTATTGCTCTTAGGCTTGTCAGATACAAAGAGCTTTGATAACCCTTGTACTTTTCTTGAAAGTCAATTTCAGTGGTAGCTTTTCAAAAGTTGACCTTGCATCTTTGTACTGTTTCCATCATGAGACCTTCATAGTCAGATTTGTCTCACTGGGACAGGGCTTCTGGCTAGAGAAAGCAGATGAAGAATTGGTAGGACTGTAATTTTAATTTGTCACTAGTCTTGAAAGTGGTAGCTGAAATGGAGAGGGGTCTGGTTTATCACTTTTGTACCTGATATGTATGGGCCAGTGCACTTTGAAATCTGACCTACTTGCAAGTCAAAACAGCTTTGTTGTGCTGCTGTTGATCAAGCTGTAAGTTAATGTGATTGTATCCAATTCCACTGTAGTTTTCCCTGGTTTTGAGAATGGAGTATGCATAAATTACAGATGGCTGTCAGACTGATAACGAGCCACCTATGTCTGTCTTGCCACTAATGCTGTGATTGGTTCATGTAATTTGTTTAAAAGGTTTCTCAATAGAATAGCAGAGGTTGAAAAAATCAGGGAATTGATATAAGGTAGTGGTTTGGTCTCCTGCAGGTTTAGACTCTTCCTGCATATTAGATGTAGATGAGCAAGATGTACTGTTACTGTGATGCAGGAACCTCTCTTTGCTTCCCAACCTGCACAGTCATTGTTCATTGTCTTTTCACCACATAGGAAAACAAAACTCTTGCAAGCCCTTAACTTCAGGCAACCTCTCTGTAACTAAGATTCCTTACATGATTGTGGCAGTCAGACTCCTGCATTTTGCTTATCTAGTGTTTCATCAAAAGAGATGTTAAAAATGGGCTGTAAAATGGCATTGAGTTTATTACTGCCTGGTAACATTTACAGATGTGCTTGATTTGGGAAAATGGACTTTTATATTATCAGAACTTTTTTAATTGTGCAGCTACATTGTTTGACCTCTTTTTACTGCATGCTTGAGTTTGAGATGAAGGAAATATCTATTGGCATCTGGCCATTATAGAATGGTCTGGTTGTTTTTTAGTCTGTTGCATCTTTCTGGAAGGGAAGCTGTCGAAGTTCACCTGTTGGGTTCGGTAAGCAAGTAAGGAAATATTGCAAAGATTACTTTGTTAGCATCATAGCTGTTTTCTTCCCTTGATGATATATTCCCTGATTGTCTGCAAACTACTTTCAGGAATACAGTGCATCTGTGTGTAATCCTGTTCAGTTTTTTAGGGCTATTAAAGTGTTTGGTGTGGCTGTTTGTCCTGTGGAGGTCTTTTCTGTATGTGAGTATCAGAATTGTTCACCAAGTGTGAAGAACAATGTCAAGCTGAGTCTTGTATCTCATAGTGTTGTTTCAGTTTTGGTACCTCTTCTAGTCAAGTTCTTGGTTTTACACAGGAGCCCAAACTTCTGGAGCCTGATTCTGTAATAACTGCTGATCTGTGAGAACAGGAATTATCTGTGAGAGTCTTCCAGGCTGCTAGCAAAATTACTGCTTTCAAAACTTCAACTGTTGCTTCTTCTGATAGCTATTAACTTAATGCTGAATTGTATACAAATGTACTTTTAATCAGCAATAAGAGTTTCAATTATGTAGTTCATAAAAGTGAATTTCTAAAGAAAAAGTTAAATTAACATGGTTTTTTACTTCCTAATCTTTTCAAAGACTGTTTTAGCCCTTAGAGCTGTCACTGTTAGAGACTGTAAAATTACCATGAGAAATGCTTCATCACAAATATGCTGTTGTTTTCTACTATCTGATTATTGAATATCAAGTTTGCACTGAGTTTTGAGTGTGTGTAATGCTAATACTGCTTATGGTACAGATTCAGCTGTGCTGTTGTTTATTGAATGGAACTTTTTCTGATTTAGCTTTTAGTAAAATTACTTTTATTTACAAATACCCTCAGAAGTGAATTTTCAAGCATGTTTATACAAAGCTTTACAAAAGAGGTTGGAGATATGTGTGTAGAAGTGTATGTGCATACATGCATATCTTTTTATATATCACTGAACCACAAATATGATGAGTTGAAAGGGATGCACAAGGATCATGAAGTCCAGCTCCTGGCTCTGCACTTCTCTCCATCTGGGTTGTAGCTTTTTCTAGAAAAACATTTCTGCTTTAGAATCAAATATTCATAATTTTTCTAATTATGCTTCCTGAACATGGACCACCTTCTATTTACTGGTAAACTATTCTGTATGGCTTGATACTTTGGTCTTCTGGGTAAAAGAAAAATATCAGGCAAGAGTTCTTGTACTGAAATATGCTCTCGCACAAAGAGCCAATTGCGTAGCTGTATGTGGCACACAAATTTGTGTTTGGCACTTACAACTGATTTAGCTTCTGTTCCTCAGAAATGCACATTTCTTGGTGTAGCATTGACTGGGTCCAGGGGTCTGAAAGACAAAAAGATACATACCACTTTTCTGACTTCGGAAAAAATCAAAATGTTTATTTTTTTGAACCAGAGTATTCAAGAGAACAGTGTGTTCTTTCTATTGCAGTTTTTTTTCCTCCACGCAACATTTTTTCTTGATGTGATTGTTCATAACTAGAAATTAACAGGATGTATCTTGCTTGTATCTTCAATTTTGGTGTATATTTCTTCAAATACACTGTATTTTTAATGTGTAAATAAAATTATTTTTTGAAGGAATAAGGGCACTGTCATTTTGCAGACTTTTCACTGTAGTTTGAAGTGGTTTGGAGAAGTGACTTGATTATAATATTCTTGTTGATATATGACTTGATTTATGACTTTTGTTGTTTTAACGGAGAGAACTACTCTAGATCTTTGCTTCATTTGTAGCTTAAAAAGTTCTCTGAGTCTTTTCATAACTTTGCAACTTGCTACATTACTGGTGCTCTTATTTTGTTGTTGCAGTGGTCAGTATAATCACACAACATCTAAAGTTGGAAGGGACCTCTTGACATTATCTAATAAAACATCCTGTTCAAGCAGGTTCAGCTAGAATAGGTTGTCCATAACTATATCCAGTCAGATCTTGAATATTTCCAAAGATGGATACTTCACAGCCTCTCCAGGCAACCTATTTCTATGTTTGACCATTATCACAGTCAAAATGTGTTTTCTTGTGTTCAGAGGAATTCAAATGGAATTGTATATATTTTGACTTGTGCCTGTTGTGTCTTGGTCTGACACTGGGCACTGTCAGTAAAAGTCTGTCTCCGTCTTCTCTCTCTTCCATCCGGTATTTATATGCATTGATAATGTCCCCACTAAAACTTATTTTCTCCCAGCTAGCCAGTCTCAACTCTTTCAGTCTCTCCTCATGTGAAAAGTGCTTCAGTCCCATTATTGAGCTTCACAGCCTTTTGCTGAAACTTCCTGAGGTATTTTGTGTTTTTCTTGTGCTGGGCGTGTGAGAACTGGACCAAACAGTCCAGATGTGGCCTTGCCAGGGCTGAGTAGAGAGGAAGAATCACATGCCTTGATCTGCATTCAGCACTCCTGGTGCACCCCAGGTTGGGTTGTCCCTCATTCCTGTGAAGGTGTATTGCTGGCTGGTGTTTAACTTGCCACCATACAGGACCCCAAAGTCCTTTTCTCTGCTGAGCAGCTTTCTAGCATGTTAGTCTGCCATGTCCCAGCCTCCCTGGGTCCTCTGAATGGTAGCACAGCCACCTGGTCTGTCTCTCACTCCACCCAGTTTTGTAGCAGTAGATGGAGGGACCAAGGCTTTGTCTAACCAAGGCTCTCTAAAGAATGAAGACACTTCCCATGACCTACGTGGTAACTTATCCCAGGGCTGCACCTCACACAAGGAGAAGAAGGTACCCACAAAGTGCCACTTGGATCTCTTGTGCCTGTTTCTCTTTACTGCTTCTTCTGATTCTGCCCAAGACGGTTTTGTTCTGACTGCTTTTCAAGCAGCTGAGAACTGCTGTTACAACCCCCTTGATGTGAGATAAGCTCTAATGCTTTTGTTTAGTGTTCTTACTCTAGTCCCTGTTCATCTTCTGCTGGTATTCTGTAGGTGTAAACACAGACAATTCTTTGTTATCAGCATATACAATTGTACTGTGGGATTTACTTTTTAATGTTCTTTGTCTCTTCAAATTTCACTCTAGAACCATCTCCTCCTGAAGAGCTAACTATACACCAATTTCAGTGTTCTTGGCAATTTATGTACAGTTGCTTGTGAGTGTGCTTTTTAGCAGCTTACAGGGATTGTGTGCTTCCTGCAATCTGGCTCTGCCCAAGCTGGGAAATGTTGGTGGAGGCATGAAGCTGTGGTTGTTAACTGGAACAAACTTTTGCTTCCAGCCAGTTACCAATGTAGAGGTAGAATTTAGAAGTCTTGTACAAGCTTGTCATCTCTATAATTACGTGGCTATTAAGAAATGGGTGGAAGTTGAATGCTCTAAAATTATAGCCTGTAATGATAAGACATGGTTAGTAGTGATTCTGATGCAATTTTCCTCCTTGCCAACAGAGTTTCAACAGCAGGAAAGCATGAAGTCCCATCAGAAAAACATGCAGCTCTATGACACACCCTATGAACCAGAAGGCAGTGGTGTGGAATCCGATTCTGAAAGTGTGGTGAGTCGCCGTTTACGAGAAAGCAAATTGCCACAAGATGATGACAGGCCTGCAGATGAGTATGATCAGCCGTGGGAGTGGAACAAAGTCAGCATCCCAGCTTTGGCAGGTAGGATTCCTAGATCCCAGCCTCAAAATTCTTTCTCACAGTTATACCATATATACTTGCCTTAGGGGTAAATTAAATACTTATGCTCTTTTGTGTATGTGTATGTGAAGAAATGTCTCAAAAATGAATGTGGGTCATCTCAAATCTTTACCTGCTGCAGAAATATGGAACTGCACTTGTTGTTTGGTACTTTGACCAACCTGTTGTCAATCATCTTAGCACTTGTTTCACAAAACTTCTGATTCTGCTCCTTGTCTCTACCCTCATTTTAATGGATGGCATGTAGATAATGTTTATTGTTGAGTATCTCTATGGTGAGAAAGTAGCTTTGCAGGGTCCTGAAATTGTGGAGCTATTCTCAAAGGGACAGTGTGATAAAGTGTTGGGGGTGAGGCAGGAAGAAAAGAGGTGTGGTTCTGGGACTAAACATGGAAGAAGCCTGAGAGCAATGATTACTGGGTAATCAGTGTGCATTTACTCTAGGTAAATCCTGCTCGACAAACCTGTTTGCTTTCTGTGTTAAAACTACTACATCTCTTAATGGAAAGAGAGCAGTACGTGTCATCTGTGTAGACTTTAGCTTTCACCATGTTGTGCTGTGGCATCAGCTGGGTTTGGAATGTTGTAGTCCAGATGGGAGGACTAGTAGATCTGTGAAAACCTATCAGAGTCATTGACCTCAAAGTGTAGTGTTAGTGATTCATCCTTTTCCTGGAATCTGGTTACAAGTGTGATTCCTTCAAGGATATGTTCTGGAACCCTTCCTGTTTAGCACAGTTTTTAGTAACCAAGAGCAGAAGGAGAGGAAATGCCCCTTATCAAGCTTGGAATAACAGCCAAGGGAGGAGAGGGTGTGTGCAAAGTTGCCATTCTGAGCGACCTGAACAGGCTGTAGAAATGGAGTGACAACAAGCTTACAAAACCTGATGAGAACAGACCCAAAGACTTGCATCTGGAGCAAACACCCTGCAATGATATGGACCTAGATCTGGTTGACTTGCTGGGATACAGCTTTGCTAGAAGGGACTTAAACATTCCTGAGGGAAGATGGACTAAATGTGGCTAGCAATGCTCCTCACCATGATCAAGGCTAACAGCCTGCTAGCCTGTGTGAGTAGGAGCGAGCTGGTGGATGAAGCAAAGTGACTGTTCCTCGTTACTTCATATTTCTTGAACTATGCATAATGCTGTGGCAGGATTCTGATATAAGAGGGATGTTGATAAACATTTTTTTTAGCACAGAGCCAACAAAATGACAAAAGCAGCACATGACATCACATGTGAAGAGATGCTAAGAGAACTGGGCTTGTTTAGCCTGGAGAAGAGAAAACTTTGGGTGGGACGTAGTGAGAACTTTCTAATGCCTGTGAGGAGATCCTCAATAAGATGGAGCCAATTTCTTCACAACTGAGCAGCTGTGTGATGGGAAGATGAGATATAAGATGAATCAGTAGAGGTTCTGACTCAAGTTGTATTTTTTCTCTGCAAGAACAGTTAAGCATTGGAAACAGTTATTCAAGGAGCTCTTGCAGTCTCCATCTTCAGATTTTTTTCATCCTGTAGGAAGAAATGACTGGATAAACAACCTGATCTGGTCACATAACTTCCCACACAAGGTCGATGATTGTGTGCTACCTAGAAGTAATTTTTCTTTCCAAAACCAGCAACTTCATTGCTTAATGATGCTGAGATACAAGCTGTGGGACCAGTATACATCTCCAGTGAGATCACATTTCACAAACTTTTCAAATAGTAATAGAGTGGCTACAGAGAATGGATTTTAAAAGTTAAGTGTAAAGAGTCATATATGGGCATATGTAAATTATTATCCTTCATGTATTGGTCATATTATATAAAATCTATGAGTTTTAATTAATTTGGATCTTATCTTAAGTTCTGTGTTCATCTTTGTGTCCACTTCATTGGTCTTAATCAGATGAATTCTGAAATACAGTTTTTCTGAGTTGTTTTAAAATAAAGAACCTTAGTTTTGTTAATTTTTTTCTTAATATCTACTTTTCAGTTTTTACATGTAACTGTAAATTAACAAGGTCAGTCCAATACAAGATTTTATGATTGGCTTATGTGTAAATATTCTTTCCAGTACTATGCAGTTACGAAAGCACACAGAGCAAAATATTGCTTTACAGAATTAATAGACTAAAGAGAGGTTTAACTAAATGGTATTATGATATGGTTGGTTTACTTACAGTTTCAGCACAGAGAATTCTTACATAAAATAAGAAGAGTAAACACTTTTTGAGAGTAATTCTATTTCTCTCATTATGTCTGCCATTCATTACATATTAATTTGGTTTAGATACAAGGTTATTTTAGGTACAAAAATTCCTTTTGTCACAAAGAAATGTCCAAGGATTGGCTGCAAGCCAGATTACAAGCTGCTGTTTCATCTAGTATCTCTAGAACTCATCTTTGTCCTAGGAGTAGTAAATGTTTAAAATAAAGAATGAAGAGGTCCAGCTTTGAAGTTCGAAATGGTGGAGAGTTTGCAATGCAGACGTGTTGACCGCCTGCTGAGATGTGTGAAGTGCTCTTCTGACTTAGTCAATGGTTCCATAGTGTAGCCCAGGAAAAGGTTTTTTCACTTCTTAGCTGAGATGGATTTTTCTGAAAAGTGCAGTGTTGGTCTAACTATTAGAAATTCTAGCAATGGGTAAGTCCCACTTTACAGGCCCACAATTACCATCTCCCAATTCCATGGAACTGTGGAGATCCTGGAGGGACCCTCTGCTGAGACTTTCCTATATTGTGAAATTCATCTGGAGGGAACAACATATTTGTGATAAGAATTGCAGACAGAGACTTATGCAGCAAATGTTTTTGATTTGTCAGGTGGTAAACTGTAGAAACAAACCAAAATCACCAGCGACACTAGAATTAGCATGAACCTAATTACTCATGCAGGTCTTTGAAGGAAAAAAAGTGTTCTTCTGCCATGATTTCAAGGTTTGTTGCTGAAAAATATCTAAAACCTGTTTATCTCCAACCTGGACTTTGAGATATGTCGGAATGAAAGTGTGCACAAGCTATGAAAAGGCTGAGGGCATTGTGTGTGTGCTCTGACTTCTAGGGATGGGCCTGAGGCTGTGTCATCCTGGTGTTGTGGATGGAGCAAGATGTACACAGCCTATGGATTTTGCTGTGCTAGAAGATGTGTCTCTGTGTAGCAGAACTGGAATGCAGCATTTTGACTGTCTGCAGCTGGAGTTCTTTCACAAACAAATTTGGGGTTGTTTCATTGGAGGCTGTCCAGCTGAAGCTAAAATGTGTTTTTGATGACTTTTATGGGAAGCGAGCAGGTCTTGTTAGAACTCCTGCTGAGCTGGGCAGACTGGTTTGCCCAGAAGAATGGAGGTTGGCAAAGTAACAGGAACAAAGTAGCTTCCAGGTACACAAGTCTGGCTAGAAAAGGAGATGACACCAGGGAGAGCCCACTGGATAGATAGAAGATAGTGTGGGCACTGGAGGGCCCACTGAAGAATGTCACACTGACACTGGCTTCCAGTGAGTTTGTGAGAAATCTGTCCTCTTCAAACTGTCATGTGGGCACAGAAGAACTTTGGGTAAAGGAAATGCTTGTGAAGTCTGTAAAGCCAATCTTAATATTGCTTTACAGAATATGTGACCCTCTCTTACAAAGGGGGTCTCAATGGTCAATTTGGCAGTAGTTTCTAGCACTGATCATGGGCTCAAGGAAGGAGGACTTAAAAATGCCAAACTTTTTCTGGCTTCTGCTGTTGATGGAAAGGTGTTGCCTAGGACACTGAGTGACCTAAAGCAAGGGAGTTCTGGCGTGCCACTGTCACAGGGGTAGGGCAGGAATTACAAGGTAGTGGAAGAGAGGCCACATGGAGAGTGTGGAAGTGTCAGGTATTGCAGTCAGTTCCATAATTGCAGTGGCTGGATATACTTTTGCTTTGTTTTAAGAGAGGATTCATAGCAGCCAAAACTCAGACCTGACTACAGCATTGGGTGGGTAGGTACCTGACTGGGTATCACACTTGTCACTTTAATCTGCCCCAACATTCAAAAGCATCTGAAATTTGACTTTGTCCTGGTTTTGGAGAATAGTTCCCACCTCTTGCCATCATGTTAGTGACTTTTTACACAAGCATACAGAGATAAAAAAGAGGGAATGGTTTTAAATCTAAAAGAAGAGTTTAAGAGTTTTAACTAAGAGTTTACATTAGATGTTAGGAAGAAATTGTTCAGTCAAAGATGGTGAAGCAATGGAGCAGGTTGCTGTGTGTGACATTGTGGATGGCCCTTCCCTGGAATAGGTTCAAAGCCAGGTTGGATGAGGCTCTGAATAATGTGATTTAGTGGATGAAATCACTGCCTGTGGCGACATCTCCCTGCTCTTAGGGGTTAGTAACTATATAATCATTAATGTCACTTCCAACTCAAGCTATTCTGTGATACTGTGTTGTAATGATAAGTTGTTAACAGTCAGAACTGAGTTTATGTGAACTGAATTTTTTGGTGTCTGAAAGATGTTCCTTGTCCAGAAGGTGACAATAAGCTCACTGGTTTTCAGAGAGTACCCAAGTTATATCTGGGTGTTTTTCTTAGAGTTAAAATAATAATACTGCTCATATATGTCACAGGCAAGTATCCACATGCAGTGTTTATCCTTATTACGCTAATCAGCTTTTATTATCCAGTAATGAGGTTAAATCTGAGTTTATATTAAGAAAGAATCAGCATATTTCCACCATGCATACTTAGAAATGTGATTGAGTAAGTTTGCCCAAATTTTGCAACAAAAAGTTGTGCCTACTTTCTCTGACTAGAGGGGGGATTTGGAAGTGTCCTAAGCTTCATGACAAAAGCATAAATAATTTTTTAAAAATAGCTCCAAAACACGTTCCTCATCCAATATGTCTCTGTGCATTCTCTTTTTGAAGCTTGAACATTGCAGCTGTCTGCTTTAAAGCATTTAATTCTGTTACCCACATGCCTACTTGGTTGTGTGTTATAGTAAGTTCACTTTCAAGGATATGAGGCCTATAAGTTTTGTGGGGAGTCCCTTCAGTTTTCCTTGTAACATTTTTCTCCAGGATTGCTGCTGAAATGCACATAGGGGCTGATTGAGCTGTTTGTGGTTGTCAGCACTCTGATTTTTACCTCCTGACACAGTGAAGGTTCTCTGCCTGGTCCTCACTAGATGGCCTTAATATACAGTCATTTGCAGCTGGGAGCATTAGTTTTTGATGAAGTAGCAAACCAGAGAAGGCAGTGAGAGTCAGGAATACGGTGTGGGTCGATTCTTTCACTGTTCCTGTAGATTCTTTCACATTCTGTCCTTTAGTATTTTTTTTTAATTGTAGCTATGTGGAATCTGTAAGTGTAGAATGAGAATGCAGACATCATTAGCATGTGCTTGGCTACAGGTGTTGCAGTGCTCTAATAAATTACAGCTTTGCAAGATAAGTTGTATTTCTTTTCTTGGAATAATGTAGTTAGTGAGAGAAATTATTAAAGGCTATTATTTTGTCATCTGTTTCCTAGATTTTAAAGGCAAAAGCTTTGTGCCAGCAGTGTGTGAGTGGTTGCACTGTTAATTCTTTGCTGCTTGACAGTATTTCTGATATGGATGTTAGCTGCCTGATTTGCCCCCAGGTCACTGTTAGGATGATACCACATAACCTGAGGCAAACTGATGTTCTCACTTACTTCCTTTTGGAATTATGGCAGGTGACTGAGGGCTTGTTGCTATTACTTGTTTAACAGCATCAACTCTGGAGGATCAAAGTATCAAATGTCAAGATAAGCAGTAGTTATGATAACAAGGTTTAGAAGAGTGTGAATTTTGTTACTGGAAAAACAAGGGAGTTTTAGGACTGTACTCTGCATAGTAAGAAACACTTTATATGATACATATAACTTTGTAGATAAAGCATCTCAATGCTAGTGGGTATATGTTTATTCTCTGTGGGGTGTGACAACCACTCTTAAGTGCTACAACTCTTTGGTCCTTGCTAACCTTGCCTGGAGAGGTAATTATTGTGTATCTTGCAGCCCAGTTTAATGGAAGTGGGAAACGGCAAGCATCTCCTTCTCCCTCAAATGACCAGCACAGGCAATTAAGAGCACCTGGAGGAGGCTTTAAACCTATCAAACATGGCAGTCCAGAATTTTGTGGGATCCTGGGAGAGAGAATAGATCCAACTATTCAACTGGAAAAGCAGATGTAAGTAAGCACAGTAATTGCTCTCTAGTTCTTTGCCTCCCCACTTACAGGAGCAGTAAGCACCCAGATCCTGTTGTCCAGCTTCCCTCCTCAGTATCCTCAAAACCCCAAAGACTTACTAATCCCACAAAGTGTAAGTAATTTTTGTGGGGGAGCAAAATAGTGTTAAACAGGAAACGGATGTCAGGAATAGCAAATTTTATCTGTCAAGTATGTTCAGTTATTCCATTTACAACCTTGTTGTTTATACTGCATTAGGGGAGAAAAGATAGATATCACATGTAACCAAATTCTGTTTAAAGGTATATATTTGTGGCTGCAGAGCATGTTTCTAATACATCAGATTTGCCTTGCATCTGGCAGTGATTCTCCTCCAGGGAGAGAATGATAAGACCACTTAAACAGCTTTCAGAAAACAAGATTGTTATTTCTATCCTTGTGCTATCAAACTTGAGGGCAGTATTTAGATGCACTTCTATCAGCTTCAAATTCAGCTTCTGGGTGAATTCCCTGTAGTAAATGTCTGGTATCCACAAGAGTGGCCCTGTCCTACCTTATTGATTCCCTTCCTTGAATAATTTGGACAGACTGGCTTGTGATGGCATGACCCACTATCCTGTATCATACCAAAGGTGCAGCCTCACAGAAGGGGACAGAATTCCTGCTACACAGAGAAAAATCCTGAAAAGTGAAAAAGTAGAGCAATTTACAAAAGTTAGACTGATATTCCTGGTCACTGAGAAGCCAGTGGATTCATGCAGTAAAGTGAATAAGCTGTGTCTTGAATCCCTGAAGGCAGTCCACTCCAGAAACTCTCATTCTGGGTTAGAGGCAGAATTTATTTGCACTGCACAGGGAGGGCATAATTTAGCATGGATGTGAGTATGCACTTTGTGAGAATACTTTGTTCCTTAATGCTAGTGGTATTGAGAGGATTAACAATCCTTTTACACCTAGAACCTCAGCAGGAGGGAATCCTCATCTAGTGTGAGAGGAGGTAGTTCCAGAAATTGCTTTCCCTTTGACATTCTATTTTTCAGGCAGTGTTTGGAAGCTTAAGTTTGAAACAGATAATATCATCCACATGTTGTCATGTTCCATCTAACCAACCTCAGCCTTTGAGCCACCTGCCCATTGACTGATTGTATGCTTATCTCCAGTAGAGGAAGTAGCAACCATTATTGTGAAATTACTCACTGATATTGTTAGGTAAATAACTAAAAGGCTGTAAATTTAACTGTAGATTTGATCCTCCAAGTTGGGTAGTTCCAGCTCACCAAAGTTGCTTGCCCAGTCCCAAATACATTAAAAATAACTGCAGGAAGGTGAGTTTCTGTTACCTAATTTTTGACTCACAATTAGGCTGTGGTGTTGTTCTGGTTTTTATTATAACTGCAGTTAAATGTTACAATTGAAAACTGCAGGTCTAGTTTTTCCTTCTTAACTAATCAAATGTCAGTGACATGAGGGTTTTTTTTTTGTTTCTTCAGCATGATGGATCAAACCTAAAATGAATGCAGTTAACAATGATGCATCATAAAGTGAAAGAGTCCACATTTATTTTACCATAGATTATTCATAATAATTCAAATTACTCATTTTAGTAGCGTGAGGTATCTCCACAACACATGCCAAACCCTTCCTTCTTTTTCTGCAAAAATAGAGTCTGTTTTTGCAGAAAGGAATACAAGATCTGAAGAAAAGGATGCGCACACACAAATTGGCAAGTGGATGGGTAGGTTAGGATATTCCCCAAACAAGCAGAAATACCAAGGTGAGTTAGTATATTAAGAAAATATTTTCAGATGGAGGAATCCGTAACTATGAACTTACTAACTCATGGACCCAGGGGAATCAAAGTAATTTGTTCTATTTCCTCAATAACAGTGTAAAGAAAAAAATGTGTTCTGCTGTTTCCATTGTCTTATTGAAAGTGAATCCCTCCCAGCCTTATAATCAAGATCTTGTGGTTTCCTGTTTTGTTCTAACTCAGAAACAGAGTAGTGTTGTGCATTATATAAGCTGTAATAACTTATTATACTTACTGTATAATTGATGCTGCTCTCCTGTCCTCAGTGGAGTTGTGGCCCCTTAGTGACCAAAACCTGACCATTGACAAAGTAAGGGACGTCAGGAAAAGCGTTCTGTAAACCACAATCGGGTACTTACAAACTTGGGAGGAGATCCTGCTAAGGGTCAAAGTGTGTGATTATGTTAGAATTTAGCTTTCAGGTATGCATTGTGTGCATGTGTTTTTCAGGATGTCTTAGAAGACATTCAGGTTGTTCCATACTTTTGCACTGGTGTTTTTCACAAGCTGTCATTGCACTTTTTTGAGACCATATCGCTGATGTTTGAATTTTTGACCTTTCTTCACAAATGCTTATATGCTGACATTCCAAAAAATGAGCACACCCAGGACAAACAGACCCAATACAGTTGAACAGCAAATCTCTCAGGAACTTAAAGCTGATTATCTCATTTTGCTTATCGCACTAGGTAGCTGGAACAGGAGCAATCAGAGTGTCCCAATTACATGGGCATATGACTCACAAACAATTACACTTCTGGATACTGCTGCTTACTGTCAGGTGTAGCCAAAACAGCTTCCAGGCATCACATCTGAATCAGATGTTGTCTCATCCATTATTTACGTTCAACTCTTAAAAGCAGGTTTTTCTTCCTCAAAGCAGCCCTGTGTTCTTTTTCCATTTATCTCTGAATATCAGAGTTCAGCATCTCCCTTATTTTGGTAAGGTAATAGTTCACTTTTGTTTCATTTGGCCCATTGGGGAGAAAAGAGCATAAAGATAATTGTAGATAATAGGAAAAGTTTTTAAATTCTCCCAAATCCATTTCTTGATTCACACTTCTGTTAATATTATTCTGCCACACTCAGAAGGCATTCTAGTCTTTAAATTGCTTGTTAAGAATTATCCTTCACCAGTAAATATCTAATGGGAGATGAGAAGGAGACTGCCTGAAATCATTTGTACCTGTGTCTCCATCTTATTTGTGAAGTGATTAAGCTGTCAGGGCCTCCCTTTCTAGTCTGTCTTGACTATACAAAGTACAACCTCTCTTTAGTTCCCTGTAATGCAGACTTTGGTTTTAATCAAGCACTCAATGAATTTTTATTTTGGGTACCAAATTTATTTTATTAGCACATTCGTCAGATTTGACAATGGAGACCCAGCAAAAGGCAGTTGAGGGCATGATTTCTGTCAAAGAAGTTTATCTGGTCTTTATTCACCTATCTTTTAGTTGGAGCATCTTTCTTAGAGTAAGAACAGATGGAATGAAACTCTTTTACACAAAGCAAGCAACGGTTGCTGGTAAGGACAGAGAGCACTTCTGATGTGTTCGGTGTCTTGCTTAGGCAGATGTAGCAGTGTCACACAGCTTTCAAAGTGCAGCTGGCAATGGCAGGGAGGGAGAGATCTTCCTCAGAGCTACGTTTGACACAGTACAGGGTTAGACACAATGCATTGCTCTGGAAACTTAGGGAAGGGTCAAAGTGCTTACCTGTGAAGTCTGAGGTTTTGAAAGCTGATACAGAGCAGCACACACTGGGAAGCTTCTGTGTTTGCAGTGGCTGGTGCAATGAAGGACCCACCTCTCCTCACCCAATTTCCTTTTTTCCCCTGAGTTGTTCACATCCACTCCACAGATCCACTAGAGATTTATCTAAAGCTCTCAGAATTGCCACAGCTCTGTTTGGAATGTGGCTTTTTGATAAATCTTCACACTTTATCACTCTTCTTCTTTTTAAAAGATTTATTTTAGCAAATCTTTTCCACTGTTAACTGTTCATGTTCTCCACGTGTAATCTTCATTTTCTTTGCTTTTATTGTTTATTTTGTGTATTAGTTTAAAAACTGATATATCCCAGGGATGAAATAGAGCAAATTGTATATCATGGATCTGTTTGCAGGACAGATTATAATGTGTTTCTCTAAAGGGGAATTTCTTACATAAACATGTATGCTAATCTTCTTGCATGGTTTCCTGTCTGAGATTTTTCCCCTCAGCTGACAGGAACAAGAAGCCTCCACAATCTGTGGTAACTTCATCCAGAGTTTTTTATCCATAATATACTAGATTTTAAAGGTATCTGTGTGCTATTGGTAACAATTCACACCTTAAAAAATTAAGTAGTGGAAGCAATATGAGTGGGAATATTTCTGTGTGTTCATTAAGTTCTTTGCTTTTTTCTAGATGGTATCACGGAGCAATCAGTCGGACAGATGCAGAAAACCTGTTACGTTTATGTAAGGAGTGTAGCTACCTTGTAAGAAATAGTCAAACAAGCAAGCATGACTATTCTCTTTCACTGAAGTAAGTACTTGTTAGTAAAACATCATAAATGTATTTATAAGCCATAACTTCTCTGGTGCCATACAAGAAAATTATCCAATTTGTTGCTGCACTGTTTTATTACGTTTTAGCTCCAAAGGACTCCCGAGTGTTTGGGACTGCATGATGTATAGTTACAGCCACTGCATTAGTACCTTCCTGTCTGCTGATGTTAATAGATTTTTAGTCTCCATTTGGTGTCCATTTTACTAAATAAACTTGGATTAATTTTTTTTTTTCTGATTCTAATTTGAAATGTTCCTGCTCCTCCTTTAGGCTGAATAAAGAACTGTATTGTTTGGGGATTTTATTTCTTTTGTTTTGTGTGCTTTACTGGAGTAAAGCTGTACAGCATTTCGAAGTAAAAAGCCAAGGACTGAGGATGAAAGATCTATAGAATTAGGAAATTAACAGTATTCCAGTCTTAGCACTGCTCTGAAATTGCCTTACCTAGCTTAGGCTGAGCAGGGTACATCACAGATGTGTTCAACGTAGCATAATAAAAATTCATGAACAGTTGAGGTTGGAAGGGAGGATCAAAGATCATCTAGCCTACCTCTCCCACCCATGGCAGGATAATAAGGATAATTCACTTCATTTTCTAGCTGAGGAAGATTGTCAAGGTTTTGTGTGCTGGAGAAAAAGAAGCCCCTTTGCCTTGGTATAGGCTGTAAAGGTGCAAAGAGAAATGTTTCCTTTCTTTCTTTCATGCAGGATAGGGTCTGATGTGGAACCTGACCTTCCAAGGAGGTCTGGAGTACAGGCCAGATCTTTTCACTAGCATTACTCCTGCCAGTTTGGCATTTGTGCCATTTCTTCACAGGTCTGCTCTGAAAATACATTTTACTGCTGGGATGATGGTGATACCTGGTTGTAACAAATGTTTTTATAACCAGCACTGAAGAGGATCCTTCTTTTTTTTTTTTTTTTTTTAATAAATTTAAAATTCCATTCTAAGACTTAAGAAGAAAAATATTTGTAGGAGTTTATTTTAAATCATTATTCCTCTACTATTATTTTTGGGACCTTTCTGTAATGCAGAGGTCTGCTTTAAGTTGGAACACATCTGCTTTAGAACTGTGGTTGAGTTCCTGTTATCTCTTTTGTAATTTGATCTCCGTATACTCCAATATATGTATCTTCTAGATATTTTCAAACACTGAAGCATTAATGGACAAGCTTTGATGTAAATTTTCCCTCAGGCCTAAATTTTCCCTTAAATTCAAAGTCTTGGAATATGACCTATTTTTAAAAGTATTTCACTTAATTCTTGCATTAGCCCAGTGATTTTTGTTATTCTGCTAGAGCACAACTTCCAGAGGAAAAGGTGACAGTTAAAATTATATTTTGCTGCTTTGGACAGCTAAGTTATTGCCTTTAGTATTAGTATCCTTTTGTATCTGTTAGGTGTGTTTGTGCATCTTAGGAACTTTTAGTACCATGTGTGAGTCAGCTTTTTTTTTTGGGGGGGGGGGGGGTTGGGGTTTTTTTTTGTTACATGCTTCATTTCTGCTTAAGGGAAAAAGTAAGAATCACACCCTGATTTTGTACTGAGATTAAGTAACAGTGATTTACTATCAGTTCTTCTGTTTCATGTGACAAGCTTTTTCTGAAAACAAAAGAGAAAGCAAAACCCAAACCCAAACCACTCCATTATAGTTTTTTAGTTTTCTTTTCTCTAATAACAAAAGATTGTTTCCCAAAACACATTACCTGTATTTGAAAAGTGAAAATATGGTAGAACTTGCTCATTTTCTTTTAATGTAGCTGAATATTTCATAATAGAGACATCTCTGAAGGCCATTTTTTCCAATAGCAGGAAGTCTTTTTATGTTCTGTGGACATTGAGAGAGCCAGACAGGCTTGACTTGAATGGGGAATTTGTGTGAGATATCTGTCTGGTTCAAAATCCAAAAAATTATCATTCCAAATATAATGAACTGAGTGTGAAAATAGCTTTATTGCTAAATTAAAATGCATGTGTGTATAAAACAATAATTGAGGTAGATTAAGGTGCTATAATTTACCCAGTGAAATTTAATTGCATGTGGATTAGCTATTTCTGGGGGCATCAGAGAAGTTTTTTTTGAAGTACACATTTATGTTACCCATCTCAGTTAGAAGCAAGGAATTGGTATTGTTGGTGACAAGTGTTTGAAGCTAAAAGCATCTTTCTATGGATTGGGATCCAAAGAGCTAAGCTTCCTTGCCAGCATTATATAAATTCTGCACAGCAGAAGAGGAAAAGAGTATAATCCACCTTCCCAGAACAAAAACATCCCAAAGGCATGAGGAGCAGCTGTACATTCTCTTGAATCTCATCTGTCAGCCGTGGATTGTTCCCTGTGTTTCCACCTCTCTGCATTCCTTCAGGGTTGTAGATATTTGACTCGCTCATACCCACCCACCCTTTCCTTAAACACAATTATAATTGCAGAAGGCTGGGTAAAAATTGGAGACCCATACTCCTGGTAACTGTGTCGTAACCAGAAATTCCTGGCTGCTATTGAAATGCCTTGTTTCAAATTCCTTGTCTGAAACCTGTTCTTTACTAACAAGCACACTGGTGAAAAAGGTAGAAATAGATGTGCAAATGAAAGAGGGAGAGCCATTTCATACTAATAAATGTTTCAGGTGTTCAGCAATTACTTCAGTGAACATCAAGATCACAGGGAAGCCTTTCTGACGCAGCAATAGAACAGGATCTCGGAATGGGGTTATCGAAGACCAGGCACCAACTGGGCTCCACTAGCTAATCCTTTTAGTCAGGATTTCCCCCTCCCAAGGCTTGCAGCAGTGTGCACTGTGCCCACACCACTTCATTTCCTGGCTTATATTTCAGTTTTGGGAAATGTGGCTGTTCTTAATTTTAGATAAGGATTATCTCACAAGTTAACTAAATGTGCAGTCTGTGAGCAAAAGCAGTAAAAGGCATTGCTTTCTGTTCTGTCAGATAGCTCCTGCACAGCCACTGGAAGTACAGAGCTGAATTCAGAGAGGGTGATGCCTTTTGACATCCTGATCCTCTGGACTCATAAACAGGCACGTGGTTTCCCTGAATAGCAAAGGAAACTACAAACTATAGGGTTTTTTTTTTGTCATTACAGTCTGTAGAAGTGGTCCTGATTACCAAAGTTGATTACATAAACTTTGGGTAGTTCTGGGTTCTGGATAAATGCTGGACTTCGCCTTTCTGTTGATTTTTGTTCTTGGAAGTAACTCTTGTAATATTGTAAAAATAACAAGTTTCTTCCTGTCAGTATAATTTACAAAGATGTCATGGGATTTTTTTTATGTGTCTCTAAATTTGCAATTGAATAAAATTATTTGAAAGTGTGCTAACAGTCTGTTGTTAGCCTAAACTATAATGATCAGGTCCTGGCTCTTAGCAGAAAGTATGGATTCTGTGATTTCTATGGAAAATCCAACAAGCTGAGGATTCTCACTACCTTCAAACCAGCAAATGGGAACTGGTTATAGAGAATGGAGCCTGGGCTTAGTGGTGGTTTTCACACATTGGGTGCAAATTAACACTTCTACACCTTGCCCGTCAGGTATAAAATGTTGTGTATAATATGCTTGAAAAAGCAAAACTGAAACAGGAAAACCAGTTCATAGGCCAGCCTCTTAATGTCCAGTAAATGATTTTTTCAAATTTTTTTTTTTTTCAGGAGTTAAGCAGTGAGTTTATTTTTCAGAGGAGGTTTTATTTTATTTTATTGTTGCTATACATTGACATGAGACGTAGGCATTGTTCAAAGTAACAGCATGTAACACAAGTTAAGATTATGGAATGGAAAATAATTTCAGAATGGAAAAATAACACAACATATGTTTCCTACATTGCTAGCATTCTTTTACTGATGATATTGCAAAGTTGTTACTTTTTTCTTTATGCAAGTTTCATCAAAATTAATGCAGAAAATCTGTTCTGACAAAACAGTGTTTTCTTCAGCAAAAATAGGATTCAGAAGACTTGGCCAAACTTTGATTGTAAATACTGAATCAAAGCCATTATTTCATGGAAAAAATACTAGGTTTGATATCTCATTAATATTTATTAAACCTGCTTTTATCACACTTCATGCATAAGATCAGAAAAGCACATTCTGATTAATTGTCTGCCCAATTACTTTCCCATCCTCATTGGGTTTTGAAAACTGAGAGAAAATATGTGGGCAGGTTGCAATTCAAAGTCTCTTGGTGTTATGGTTGTGTTGCCAAACATTTCAAACAAGGTGTGACTGACTATTAGTCATGTATCAAGTTTGTGTCTGTGTAAACATCTGTGCTTGAGAGTTCCAAATAAATTTGGTGCAGGGATCAGCAATTAGGAATTTTCTTGTGTGTTTGAAACTCATGGGAATGGTTGCAAAAAGGTAAGAAAGGGTAGAATATTGTCTCTAGTAGCATTGTTTTGTCATTGTTTGTCAATTGAATGCAAATGTGGTGAAGAGTTACTGCAACATTTGAAAAACCACAATGACATTCAGAATTCACAGTGACAATATCACGTGCTGTAGTTCAGGTCCCAGCACCTTCTCTTACAAAATGTGTATGTCTTGTCTCTTCAAGGCACTGGCTCTTCACCAGTGTGAACTTGGGATCACCATTTATGTTCTTTTCTTTGTAAACCTTGAGTCTAGCAGATCTAATAGTTGTTGCTGAGCTGAAAAATAGGCATTCCAAAACCAGGACTACTCAATCAGGTGCTTGTTCAGGTAGACCCCAACAGTGATTCAAAAACTAAGCAGAAACTTATTTACAATCACTTCAACCATTAAGATTTTTTCCCTGTCATTACCGGAAGTTTCCGTAATTTCTTTGCATACTGAAATCAGTGTTTGGAGGAGAGGGAGTATGACTTCCAGGTTCTTTTTTGACATGGTTTCTGTAATTCTGGTCACTGCTCTAGCAGCACTGGTGCTGTTAATCAAGTGCAGAGGCATTTTGCCCTTAACTCTTACTAAAGGCACTGATTCTCTGAGTCCGGGCATACCAGAAGAGGGGGGACTGTGAGACATTTTAAAGACAAACAGTGAAGGTGAGACAGCACAGAGGGATCCTTAGTGTAGATGTGAATTTCACAGAATAGTTTACAGTTGAAAGGGTTTAATTCAAGGGCATGATTTCAAGGTGCTGAGTTGAGTTTCTATCAACTTAATTTGTTCTATGTTATAGAAGATGAGAATTGTAACTCTCCCTTTTAGGCAGTGGATGATTGCAACCTGGCATCCTCCATCCTTTTCTTCTCCTGGAGACTAAACAGGCACAGTTTCCTCAAGCCTATCCTCATGTGTCAGGTGTTCCCATCCCCAGACCATGTTTAGTGGTCCTGCTGTGGATATGCTTCAGTATTGACATCTCTTTTATCACGGGACACACTCTCACCAGTTAGAGATGCAGTCTCACGAGTACTCTGTAGAAGTAGTGTCACTCTCTTCCAGCAGCTGGAATTTTGCTATGGAACTCAAGGCTGCAGTAGGCCTTCATGGGCAGATCATTGAATCAGTCTCCTTTCCACCATGTGCTCTCCCTACCACAGTTCCTTTTCTGGCCCATTGTGCCCCATCTTGCATTGCTGATTGGGTTTGTTCCATCCCAAGGGCAGAAGCTATGGATTAGCCTTGTCTACACTCCATTAGCCTGCTATTCATAATTTTTAGCTCACATTCCTGCTCCCTCACAAACTGTGGCCTTCCAGAAGGCTCACATGTCAGGATATATAGCAGGGATTCTTTCTGTGTGTGCTCAGTGACTATGTGCTACACAAACCTGAATATATACATAGGTCCTTCTTGGGGAAGCAACAGCTGTCTGTCATGAATACACGACTTGTAGCAATTTGTTCATACTATGTGCATTCCTGGTCAAAACCTGAACACTCCTGCTCAAAAAATGCTTGTGCCTTTTCCTTCTCTGCCCTAAAGTGCACTTAAAAGATCTTTCTTCAGTCCTTGCCATACTTCAGAAATTAGTATGCACCTGATTCCAATAATGTACCTGCACACTTTTAAGTCATTTTGTGGCAAAGCCGATTCATAGTCAACTGAAGAAAGAGAGCAATACATCTGTCCTCATAATAAGTATTTAAAGATGCCACTCTTGTTTAAGGGAAATCATTTAGAGATTAATTATTACTTGAAAAATATATTTTCCCACTAAGAAATTGATATTTAAAGCACAATTTTAAGCATGTAGAGCCATAATTACAGTGCCTGCCATAGTTTCTATGGAGCAGGTTTCTCTTCATCAGAGAATTGTTGAATACATCTCAAAGATAGGAGCTTGGTTATGATACAGGCACTTACAAAGGGAACGCTGTACCTGCTAACTGGAATATGGCAGATTTTAGAGAAGCTGGTTGTAACATAATTTGTTTTCCTGCTGCAGCTTTCTGTGTCATCTTGAATTGGGCTTTTTTGCTGGCACAGGCCAACTCCAATTTTAACACTACTGTCTCTGCCCCTGGACACACCTAGGAGAAACAATGGCTTGGAGCCAGAAGGTTAGGGATTAGGACATCAAACAAGCCATAAAAACCTTCTAAGCCTCATTTAACATCTTGATATGTCAGAGCTGTTCTTTGCACTTGTGTGCCCTGGCTGAAGTCTATGCTTTTAAGTAGTTTATATGTTTGTTATGTTAAGGCAGCAAAACTGAAGGGTCGCTCCTGGGAAGAGCTGAGGCCTACTTTATACCTCTAGTGCTGTATGGCAGTGTGGGTGCTACCCATCAGAGTGGAATTCTGTCGGACAGGTTGCTTTGCCAAGAGCAGGCAGGGCAGTTCCATGAGTTCCATGACACTCTTCTGTTCTCTTGCCTGTGTAATCATGAGCCTTCCCTCAAAGAACGTGCCTGCAGAAAGACCACAGGACAGCAGCCCTTGCTCAGTATAGTGCTCAGTTTAAAGCAGTACTATGCCATTGCCTTGGGAACGTGCTCACCTGGCGTAGTTTTCCCACCTCAAGCCACCAGATTATGCACAGAGATCTGTTCTGGATAGTTGCTGCCCAGGTGGAATGAGTGAGGTCTGCCTTGTGGCATCCACAGGTAAGCCATCCAGGGTAGACCAGGGCAGGTCTTGTCTTGCCTAGCTAAGCAAGGTTCATTGCCTGCTTGTGCCTGCATAGGGACCCTCAGGCCTCTGACAGGACAGCACCACAGATATTTGGGTCCAGAAGTAACGGCTGGCTATACTGAAAATAAGTATTCATAGGAAAATATTGAAAGGGCTGGAGAGAGGGGCCATGGGAAGGAAATGGATTGTCTTCTGGCACACCTCTGTTAATTTTCTGTGTGAGACAGCTATGCATGTGGATCAAGGCAGCACAGGTGCTGAAAACAAAATACCACCTTAGGCTGCCTTTGTGGTGAACTGTTCAGGGGGGTTTGCAATTAGCAGGTGGAGCCAGTCTGGCCTGCCACCCAGCAACTACTGGCATTTTGTTCTCCTACTTTCCCCTCCATAAGGAGGGCTTGTTGTGGTGCTGCGTCCCTCTTCCCTATGCACAAGCATGAACTTACGCTTTGCTTTCCTTGCAGGAGCAGTCAAGGTTTTATGCATATGAAGCTGACGAAAACCAAAGAGAAATACATCCTGGGTCAGAACAGCCCTCCCTTCGACAGTGTTCCTGAAGTCATCCACTACTACACTACAAAAAAGCTGCCCATCAAAGGAGCAGAACACTTGTCGTTGCTCTACCCTGTGGCTGTACGGACTCTCTGATAACCTAGTCTCACCCCTTCCTGTGGTTGGGAGGTGAGAGATAAGCTGGGTTGCACAGAATTCATTGCCAGAATTTAGAGCTTGAGTCTATGATGGACAGAGGCAGCATTTAGTCTTGTGAATGTGGGCTGCCTGCAGAGTTGTCTGTGGGACTGTGTGTGTGATACACTTGTGCTGCAGCATGCCTCTAGAGTTGTATTGCTGCATAAGAGAAAGAACACTTATTTTAGTGCAAGGAGAGCAGATAACCTTCCCAGACCTTCTATGTGAATGAAAGTGCTTCCCAACAAAGGTTCTTCCTTCATGCTTTGAGAAGAATCAACAAGTTCTTCTCAGCAGTAAAAAACCAACAACTTGTATTCTCTTGCTACCCTGAGAAACTTCTCCATGAGAAAGAGTAACCTTACTCTGAGGGGACCCTAGGGTGTTCTAGATAGACCTGAGAAGGAGCTGCTTAGCAAGCAAGTCTCTGGCTCTGGTCACTTAGCTTGATGGGTTTGGGATTTTTTTAATGCAGTTTCTTGGGGTAGTCAAATATTGAACTTCTATTAGACACACAATCTTAAAATAGTTTTGTGAGAGCAAATCACAGTCAATTACTTATGAATAGGGGATGTAATTAAACAGTAGTTTGTTATATATTTTTATCCTTTTTGGTACAATAATCTCTTAATGTTTACTGTCTTCATTTGCAAGTTTCATTTGTAGGTACAGGCAGCTAATTCTGTTTGGGGCAGTTACACCATAATGTTTTAAGTAGTTAGGATAAGTAATTTTGACATGTGGGTTAGTATTTATGCATGAGGGTGGTCAAAGGCTTTTATAAAGCTTTAGTAGGCGAAATCTTCACTTGCTCATTCATCTGGATCAAACAGCTGTCCTACTGATGTAGCAGGTTAACTTGTGTATCACACTGCCTTTCCACAAGATGGCTTTTGCAGTTGTGAGAACTGCAGTATGTAGCAGAGCAGAATTTTGTTTTTCTGGCCTCAATGGTCTGCCAAGGCATTGTTAAGGCACAGCCCCACTGGCACATACTTTCTGGCCAGTGCTCTTTTTCACCATGAGCAGAAGCCTGCCTCCTGCTGTATTTCAGTCACTGTCAGCCAGAAGCACTGGGGAAGCTGCTCTGTATCTTAGTCCTGCCAAATCAGTGCCCATGCACTTGGGACATATTTTCTACATGCTTTGTGTGCTCATTCAGTGAGATAAGTGAAAAATTACAATTGTACACAAGCTGGAACTGGGGGATCTATAGCCTTATAGTCCTCATGTTGTGCCATCTCCCACATACATCTAGAATGTTGTGAATTAACCCATCAGCTAGTATAGTAGCAAACTGGTTATATGCAGGTTATGTATTTTACAGACAGCAATAGGACTGTGAAATTGTGTGCTATTTAATTCAGCTTTCTTAGCTACTACTATTTTTTTATGTATGCTTAGAAAGAAGTGCAAATCTGAAAATTGTGATGGAATAACCACTTACTGCCTGTAAAAGTAGTTCTTCATGGTATTGTCTAATCTGTTAAGAACCTCAAGGATGACCCACATACTCTCACTGGTGCTTCCTTTTAAGCTGCCTTATTCTTTAAATGGCATCCAATGCAGATTGAACAGAAGTTGATCATATGTGTGTGAAGAGCCCAGTGTCCTTCTGTGCAGCAATGGCAGTGGGTCAAACTGTCTCACCCAGAATTGGAGGCTGCATTGAAATAGGTTTTCTAGTTTTCCAAGGAGGGTGCCTCAGTGGAGGACAACATTCCTGTCCAAATGGAAACAAACATCCCCTTTTCATGTACTTGATGCCTTGAGAAGGCTGACCTAGAACAGAGGCTAGACAGAGTTAAAGAATAAAGTAGGTATTTATTGAAAGGCCTTAAAGGATACACCTTGGGCAGTGTAAGAGCCTGGCCAGGGCTACACCCAAGATGAACCCAAAATGGTCACACAATGGACCACCAGTCACAACATCTCACAGTTTTGGTCCATTAGCATATTGGAGTTACTTGTTCAGTTATAGATTTAGGTTATGAAATTCCATCCTCCTTGTTTTCTCTCTTCAATTCACTGTTGTTTATACTTTTTGGGCCTGGAGCTTGTAACAGTTGACTTTGGTCAAGCTGGAAAAGGAATTGTTTTGTCTACCTACCCTGTCAAGAGAACTTACCAACACTTAATATGAGGTTGAGAGCTACACACTAAAGCAGCACAGAATCTGAAAAATATGAAAGCTAAAACTTAAGGCATCATATTCACCTACCTGCTTTTTTTATTTCCCTAAAGTCTTTACTCTCTTAACATCACCCAGCTGACAAGAGCATACAAGCACTTTTAAGTTAGTATATTCTCTCACCAGAGTAGGAGTTTATGAAGGTGTCAGAGTTCACACAGATTAGGAATCAGGTGACATCTTCTCTGAGTCTTGGCCTTTGTGGGCTCGAGCATCACTCTCATGCTCTTTGGGACAGAAATATGTGTTATTTCTTCTTTTGCATGTTGAATTGGGCATGATTGCTGTTCCATAGTCTGTTTTTATTTAAAGGGAAAAAAAAAGTATGCCCCTACTCTGTCTAACAGCAATTACCAGTAGAAAACAATAGCATCATTAACCAAGGCCTTGTCTGGCTTCCTTAAGCACTTTGTCTTTAATTCATGGGGATAACTATTGTACCAGACCTTTCTTGTCATGGGTCTGATCAAAAGTCAGACAAAGCCAGCAAGTGCCATTTTATCGCTGTCTGCAAATTTTGGGTTGGGATCTATTGTTTCATATGAATTATATGAATGTGCATCATACAGATGAATATACTGCTTATTACAGCTTCAAGGATCAGATCAAGGTTCTTGGTTCAGTAAGAGGAAATCATCTCAGAATGTTTTGGTTGTCCATGGGAAGGTTTTTTATTATTTTTCTAAAAGACTTTTAGAAAGTACTCAGTAATTGCAGAATAAATAAAACCAGGATTTTGTTTGCACTGTAATGTTGTCTCTGTTTATTTAAGTGATTGTATGATATTTTTCCAGTGAAGGAATATTCTTCCCAGATTTTTTTAATGTACAGTGAAAATGCGGTGTGTTAACAGTGTGTAGTATTGCGTATAGGTGGAAGATCTTGTAGTGATCATGCCTATATTGCACATTAAAAGTTTATTTTAAAAAAAAAGTATAAACCTCTCCCTTTTTTTCCTCTGACTGTCCTTGTGTACTCAGATTGTCATGAATAGCTAATAATTGAAGCAGTCTTTTAGAACAACTTGTGTTTGTCTCAACTGGGTTGTGAAAGTAATCATTAGGTTGTAATTTGGAGTCTGGAAATTATATATCTCAGTTCTACCCTGCCTAATTCTCTTGATAATGTGCAGCTTTACAAGGGCTGACATGGGTCCATGTGTGAATGATATTCTGGTGGTGTCCGAGGAATCCAGATATTGCAGCTAGCAGCATAACACTGGCGAGTCACTTTTTGCAGCCTTTGTAAGAAGTGTTAATTAGGCTTCTGTTTTGATGAGTATTTCACAGCATGGTGAAGGCTGTGAACATCTGTATGATGTGTAGGAGAGCTTTAGTGGCCAAGGTTGGATTTCACAGCTCCTTCCATAATTGGAAAATCATTTAGGTTTGTGGAAGTACAGTCATCACCATGATTTCTCTACTTGATAACATTATTGTCTTACTTTGAAATTAAATCTTCAGAGACAGGATGCAAAGTACAGGGCTGAATTGAGTGCAAAGGTACAAAACAGACATTTTCTGCTTCTGAAAGAACATGGCCTGAATCTATACTCTGAGGAAAATGCTTACTGCTTGGAGAATGACACATTTGTATGCTGCTCCTCAGCATTCCATTGGGTTTTGCACTTTATCTTGATGTCATGGCTCAAGCTGGCAACACAAACACCATGTGGCAATATTGGTGGAGCCCACAAATGTTATCTATTATCCAGGCTCTGATTCCATTTCAACACTGGTATACTGCTAATTTATACTCTGGTGGACTCAGTTCTCTGCTGCTGTAAGTTATTCATGCTGTCCTTGGGTGGTACCTCAAGTGGTGCCTGAGCAAAACAAGCAAGGTCTTAACAGAATTTTAAACAAACAAATTGAAGACCTCACCCCACACACTACACTACTATGTCCCTGTCGAAAGGGTAAAACAAAACAGATTTGGAACAGAACTGTGTGTGTTCGTGGTCTGAACAAGAAGTGAAGGAAATAAAAGGGAGATTCAACTGGTTTTCATAGTTTTTTCCTTTTTTAATGATCTGCAATGATCCCACATTACATACCACATATTGCTTTCTTTTATTACTTATTTCTGGAGGCCTCAGAAAGAAGATAAGAAGAAAGTAAGGATGAAAATCACAGCAGTTGAGCAAAGTTATTGATCTGAAATAAAGCAAATAGAAGTCCTACTGAAAATAAATGTTCATATGTTGCAAGGGATGACCATGTACAATCCAGTTTTCTGCAGCATGTGATTTCCTGTCTCGAGCCTTGAGCTTCCTCTGCAAACAAGGTATGCACAGTCTAGAGATAATGCAGTGACTTCAGTGCTCTCCACCTTGTATTTAGTTCAGTGACAGGATTAGACCAAACATTGCCTTTGCTTTCAGGGTGCCTGAATTGCATTTGCTGCTGCTGACAATTCCAAAACACAAGTTTGGTGAAGCTTGTTGGCAAGTTGATTATATTAACCCATTCCACAAGTCTGTCCCCAAGAAACAATGGTTCTAACCACAGCAGAAATATCAAAAGGATGGCTGGAAATCTAGTGAATTGCATAAGCCATGGGGATGACTTAAACATGATCATTATATGAAATTAATATATGGGAAGAATTACAGGATTGTTTATAGAGTAATGGCTAGATTGTGTCAGGTAGTATGGGCGGGACCTGGCTGAAATTCAGCTATGAAAGAATAGGGAAGGATAAGGTAACCATTTACAAGTAAACAGCTTGTTAACTGCTGTGAAAGTTGTAAAAGTGTCATGGAGAAAGTGTGGAGATACTTTCAGAAAGGGTGAACTGAATGGCAGTGAGGCAAGAGCCAAGTGTGAGATACTGAGAGGATTTGAGTACAGGAACCAGGCATTCTCTAGCAGTCTGTGGTAGATATTGTCCAGGGTCTCTCAAGAGAGACACAGAAGGTACCTACAAGAAGTAACCCAGACAAAGAGATTTTTGAGGCGAGACTTAAGAAATTATGAGCATCCAGAGAGACTCAAACAAAACCCTGGGGAGAAAAAGAGGAGAATTCAGGAATACCTTGGGAGAAATACAAGGGGCCCTACATCCTTAGAGACTGCACACGGTAAGGCTGGAACTGCTACACTGACCCTCCTAACTTCTCTCCCAGATTATGTGGTGTACCACACAGATCAAGGACTACACTGATTAAACCAGCTTCTCTTCTGGACTGTCCTCTGGAACAAGAAGCTCATGTTTCTCATGGTTGACATCACAGATATCCATGTCTAAAATGTTTTTGGATCTGACTTCATTTAGACTCTGCACTTTTGTTTTAGCTTTTACTGCAAACACCAGCCCTAAACCCTCTATTTCTTATTAATTAATTATTATTCATTATTTTATTATTATTCATTTTTTTAAAATATAAAGTTATGTGATATAATTGTGATAAATTATTATAATAAAAGGATTCCAGTTAGTAACTTTGTATGGCCAGGATGAACCATGGTTTCAACCTGAGTATTACCAGTTCCGTGAAAATAAGGATCATGTAAAAAAATGTCTTTGACTTTTGTTGTTTGTTCATAATGTCCTTTTAGCACAAATGTAGTAAACTTTCCCCTGAAACCATCTCATTATTTACCTCCAGTAATTAGATCCATTCATAGAGAGGGCAGCCTATAAAATCTTGTCATCTGTCTGTTTTTTCTACATATTAAGACTATTTTTATTTCCATATAAACATATCTATATAGACTCGTTTAGGTCATCAAGTCCAACATTTAACATAACACTTCCAACTCCACCCCTTATCCGTGTCCTTAAGTGCCATATCTTTTAAATATCTCCAGACCATGGACTGAATCACTTCCCTGAGCAGCCTGGTCTGTGACTGATATCCCTTTCAGTAGTGAATTATTTCCATATTTATGCAGTCTAAACCGCCACTGGTACAACTTGAGGCTGTTTCTTCTCATCCTCTCATTTGCTGGGAGAAAACGCTGATCCCCACCTCATTAAAGCCTCCTTTCCTGTAATTGCAGAGTTGGAGTTTCCCTGAGTCTTTTTCTACAGGTTTAACACACCTAGTCCCATCAGCTGCTCTTCACAGGTCTTGTGCTCCAGACTCTTCAGCAGCAGCTCCATTGCCCTTCTCTGGACACACCCCAGCACCTCAATGTTCTTTTTGGAGTGAGGGGCCCAGAACTGAGCACAGCACTCAAGGTGTGGTCTCACCTGTGCTGGTTACAGGGGGACAATCTCTGCCCTGGTCCTGGTGGCCACACTGTTCCTGATACAGGCCAGGATGCCACTGGCCTTCTTAGACCCCTAGGCACGCTGCTTCTTTGTGTTCAGACAGATGTCAAGCTTATCACCCCCAGGTCCTTTGCTGGGCAACTTTCCAGACGCTCTGTCCCCCATCTGTAGTGCTGAGCGAAGTTGTTGTGACCCAAGGGCAGGACCTGAGACTTGTCCTTATTGAATCTCACCCCGTTGGCCTCAGCCCATCAATCCAGCCTGTGCAGATCCCTCTGCAGAGCCTTCCTGCCCTCCAGCAAGTCAACACTCCCACCCAGCCTGGTGTTGTCCGCAAAATGTATTGAGAGTATGTTCCCTCACCCAGATCAGTGAACTAGCTGTTAACCAAAACTGGCTCCAGTTCTGATCCCTGGAAAAAGCACTCGTGACCGGATGGTTGTAGCTCCATTCGCCACCACTCTCTGGATCTGGCCATCCAGACACTTTGTTACCTAAAAAACAGTGCACCCATCCAAGTAATTCTCCAGTTTCCCTGTGAGAATGCCATGGGAGATAATATCAAAGGCTCTGCTCGAGTCAAGACAGACAACATCCAAAGCCTTTCCCTCATCTATTAACTGGGTCATCTTGTCATAGATCAGGTTGGTCACGTAGCACCTGCCTTCCCCAGATCATTCATTGCTGGCTGGGCCTGATCTCCTGGTTGTCCTGTATGTGCTGCATAGTGGCACCCAACATGATCTGCTCCATGACCTTCCCCAGGCTGGCAGGCCTCTAGTGTTCCAGCACCTTACAGATCCTTCTTCCAGCCCTTGTAGAAGGGCATCACACTGGCCAGCTTCCATTCTCCTGGGATCTTCCTGGTTAGCCAGGACTGCTGCTAAATGATTAAAAATAGCTCAATGAGCTCTTCCTCCAGCTCCCTCAGTACCCTTGGGAGGAACCCATTTGGCCTCACGGACTTGTGTGTGTCTAAGATGTGTTATTTTTTCCCCCTGGATTATTAGGCCATCATTCTGTTTCCCATCTGTGTCTTCGAGATCACCAGATGTGTTGATAGAAGCATTTTGTCTTTTACTGCGGTAGCCAAATTAAATTCTAGTTGGTCTTTGGCCCTTTGTGTTTTCTCTCCATACAAATTTGGAACTTGGTAGTCTTCCTGAGTGGAGACCCACTTCTTCCAAAGGTCATAAACTCTTTTCTTTACTGAATTACAGCCAAAACTCTCTTGTTCAGACTGGTTTTATTCCCCCTGCCACCGCCCCCTCCACCAGACATCTTTTGGCATTCAGGGGCAGTACTTTGCATCTTTAAGATTTTTTTCTTCAAAAATTGCTAGCCTGCCTAGATTCCTTTGTTCTTCAAGAATTCACAGAATCACAGAATCCTTTAGGCTGGGAAAGACCTCTGGACCATTGAGACCAGTCTTTGACTGATCACCGCTTTGTCAATTAGACCATTGCACCATGTTCTACGTCCAGTCCTTTCATGAACGTCTGCAAGGGTGGTGACTTCACCACTTTTCTGGGCAGCCCAAGCCAATGTTTAAAAACCCTTTCCATCAAGAAGTTCCTCCTGACATCCAGTCTGAACCTCCCCTGGCACAGCTTGAGGCTGTGTCCTCTCATCCTGTAACTAACTGCCTAAGAGAAAAGGCCAACCCCCAGCTAGCTATAACTTTCTCTCCGGGATTTTTAGAGCAGTAAGGTCAC